ATAGTTTTCTAATGAGATTGCAATTTGTAAGCAAAAATTAGTACCTTAAAAAAAAAGGAATGACAAGATACCTCAGTTCATTTGATGAAATATGTCATTTTTAGCTGCTACTGATGTTCTCTGACCCAGATTTTTAATACAAAGATGCCGAATTTTATGTCAGTAATTTTAGACAAGTTCAGTTAACTTACTAAGTTACTTTCACTCAAAGATAGTTAAATGCCACATACAAGGCTACTGAAAGCCAAAAGCTTTGATGCTTTTGGCAATGATACACATTTTAATCCACTTTATCTTTTTTTATAATTATAAAATTATATAATTAAAAAAAAGTTTATATTATATATAAAAAGTTGATTGAAATACAACTTACACACCACAAAAAATTAATCCTTTTCAGTGTACAGATCCAAGTTTTGACAACCACATACAATCAAGTAACCACTACCATAATCAAGATATAGAACAGTTTCTCATACCAAAAAATTCCTTCGTTTTGTAGTCAACCCCTCACCCACCCCCAGACCCTGGCAACCAGTGATCTGTTTTTTGTCCCATTATCTTCTCAAACTCAAGCATAATCTTAAGTATTTATGACTTTTCTTCACAGATGCCTGGCAAAGCCCTATAAAAATAAAACTTTCTTGAAAAATATGATGTGTGAAATATTAGAACCACCTAAATAGTATTTACTATCTTTGTAAAAGAAGAAATCATCCATTCCAATCATTGTTAAGGATTAGATTCAGGTCTTCAAAACAGGGTTCATAATTTTTCTCTAAGAAAGGTTCTTCATCTAGTAACTGGCTTGGACAATTTGTAAAAGAAGAAATCATCCATTCCAATCATTGTTAAGGATTAGATTCAGGTCTCCAAAACAGGGTTCATAATTTTTCTCTAAGAAAGGTTCTTCATCTAGTAACTGGCTTGGACAAAATAAGCATGACTTTTAATATACAGATTTATACACTTTTTCCTCAAAATAACCTCAGGTTTTATGTTACCATCTCATCCAAAAAGTCAATTAAGACAAAAAACAACACATTTGCTCACAATGGTTTTTACATATGACTTTCTAAAATAGGAAACTGGTAAACTTGAATTCAATTAATTTTCCAAGTCAATTTCATTTGTAGAATTTGATAATATTTCTTTGGTAATTTTTAAATAATACTATTCCCTCACATTTTTATTATCTACTTTGAATTTAAAAAATTTTTATTTTGACAAATATACACGACATTTACTTTTAAAACCTGTACTATTATTATTCAAGTAAGTCAGTTTTGTTAAATCTATGATGAAAGCAAATACTTAACTTGAGTTGCTGGGATATATTTTCATTTTATACTACTATTTGGAAGCAGTTTACATTTTGGTTTAATTTATCAAAAAAGTAATTTATTGATTGATTCTGAATTGGTCTGAACAAATGAACACATCTTCCATGGTGTGAGCCAAAAATAGTAGCATATAGTTCAGTGGTTAAGACCTTGGGTTTTGGAATCAGAAAAACCCGGATTCTAGTTCCAGCTATGTTATTTATTTATTGATTGTGTAAACTCTGAGCAAGTAAATTCATGTCTTATAGCCTCAGTTCCCTCATGAATTAAATGTGAACAGCAGTACTGCCTATCTCTTACAGTGTGAATACAAAGTGCTTAGTACCAGATTTGGCACATATAAGTGCTCACTAAATGTTAGCTATTATGTACCAGATAGGATTTCCATTTCAAAACCATTAAAATGTTCTATTCTTCAGCACTCACTCTGGAACAATAAGTGTCTTTATTTACATTTTATTGATGACAAAGTGAGGGACCGAGACAGTTGAATGGATCAGGTCTTATCAACTCAGGTGCACACAGTTAAAGAGAAGCAGAAAAGCACCTGGCTATTCAGGTAACACCTATAATGTTTGATGTTGCTATCCTTTCTAAGAGTGGGTTTTTCTTTCACTTTTTTAAAGAAGTAAAGAAGAAATAGTGCCTTGTAATAAGACATTAAAAAAAGCCAAGGATGATATCTTAGTCTATTTGAGCTGCTATAACAAAATATCATAAACTGGGTGTGGCTTATAAACAACAAATATTTATTCCTCACAGTTCTGGAGCCTGGGAAGTTCAAGATCAAGGCACTCATCAATTTGGTTTTTGGTAAGGGCCTGCTTCCTCATAGACAACCTTCTTCTCACTGTATTACACGGTAAAAAGGGAAAGGGAACTTTTTGGTGTATATTCTATAAGGGCATTAATCCCATTCATGAGGGCTCTTCCCTTTATGACCTACTCACCTTCCAAAGGCCCACACCTCCTGATATTTATCACCTTGGGGGTTAGGATTTCAACATATGAATTTTGGGGACACAGAAACATTCAGTCCACTGCAGATGAATACAAGAGAGTTTTGAATTTTGTAGTTTCTCTTTCAGTGCAATAAAATAAAGCCTCTTAACCATCAACTTCTCTGTAAAAGGGGATTCCATTAAATGAGAGCTCATTTAGTGAAGCCAACCAAATCAAAGTAGTTGATCAGATAATGTTTAGGTTTGAAATATTTTAACTAACTCAGTTTAAAATGAAAATAAGTATTTTATATTTATCCTTCTTTCTCCTCTTATTCCTTAGAAACATCATAATCTTTTTCTTTCCTTCCACTTTTTACAAGCAAACTTATGATGCTCATAAATTTTAGACAAGTTACAAGGAAACTGAAAGGATACCTAGTCCAATCTTTTCGTTTTAAAGTAAAGAATGAGGCCCAGAAGGGAATTGACTAAAATAATAGCCAAAATATGCCTGGAACCAAGTTTCTGTGCCCCATGAGGTGTCCCAGTTGCATGAGATGTCCTACT